TCTCTTCAAGTGAGTATACCTGCCTTTGCAATACTGTTTGCTTTCTAGAGCGGGGATGGGAGGACTGTCCTGCAAACTTCTTTTGTAGCTACTTTTTTATCTGTGCAGGAGAAGTATCATTGGCATTTTTCTTAAACATCTAAGATGTATACCTGTTAAGATACTTTCTGATCAATGCATCTCATTTTTCTTCCTCAACATTCCCTCTGGAGAGTGAGAGCAGCCAGGAATAAGAGTCTTCATCTTACATGTTTCTAAAGGAATTAACATTGGTGGTGAGCATGAATGGAGCCAGGTGCATACCTTTCAGGCCTTGGATAAACCCATGCTTTTATGCTTGAATGTGTTCATGGATTACCTGGGGACCTTGCCAAAATGTGACTCTGTTCCGCAGGTCTAGGGAGGGGCCCACAACATTTCTAACCAGCTCTCAAGTGAGGTTGTGGTTGTTGTTTGGGGACCACACATTGAGTAGTAAGAATTTCAACTCATTTGCCTTCATCTTGACACTTGATGCAGCACTCTGGGTGCCCCTCCATGCTCAGAGACTTGAATCTAGCTCTTGGTTCCAGCCAAACAGTCCCTGCTAGTGGGCTTAGGGATGGCTGATCTCATCACCTTGTGAGTCAGAAAATCCACCATCCTCCCCTGGGAAGGCGTGGACAGGAAGTACCATAACACTTCTCTGTGCCCATGCCTCTAGTCTTATCACACCTCCAGCCCTTGTCTATTGAGCAAGCCCTTTCTACTTTGGGTTTTCACGATAAAGCACAAGTGGTCACCTCCAGGTCAGTTTCTAATCCCTTCCAAAGTAATTGGCCTAAATGAGGTGAGCGCTGGACAATTCCACAGCTGCAGGGGCCAGCCTGCCCCTTGCCTCATGCCTCAGACAGATCTTATTTTATTTCTGGTTTTATGGGGTGCATTTATTGTTGGCCTTTGAGTTGCTGGTGTCGCCTATGCCCAGTGTGGGGGTTTTATGTGGATACTAGGTCTGATTGCCCTTTAGAAGGGTTCTGCTTTTAATTAAGCTTTTTCTCTCTCCAGTGGAGCATGGGACTTTCATATTTTAGAGTCTTTTTAAAATAAACATTTCTTATCAGTTTTTATGATCTTTATTATTGTGTATCTATAATTGTCTCTGTGGCTAGGACTTCCTATCCACTCCAAAGCCTCTGCTCATTTATCCCCAGAAAAGTATTTGTATTTACTCACAGAAAGGAGAAAATACCCCTCTTCTAGATGGCAGAGGCAAAGATACAGATGGCCTCGCCTAGGGAGAGACCTGAAACCCTCCTCATAGGTGCTTCTGCCCAGGAGTTCCCAAGGAGAAGAGCTAGAATCTGCCTCTCTCTGCTCTTTCTCCAGGCCAGCTCCAAACACATATGCTCTTCACAAGGTGTCTTGGATTCCCCTACCTCACCACACTTCCACATCTCCAGATCCACCTGACTGCTCACTGTTTCTGCGATTTCTTTTGGACTATGTCAAGTATTAGGTTACATTTTTCTTGTTTTACATGTGTTACTCTCCCTAATAAGATTCACTCAGCATCATGCATTTTTTTCAACAAATGTTTACTGAGTATTCGATTCCATTCAAGATACGAGGATATGGGACAGCCTTGGCGAACACAATCCCTACCCTCTTGGAGTTTAGAGTCTTATAGTGATGGGAACTGTTATGACAGGAAAGCACATAATGGGGTTCTGGCCCCTCAGGAATTGTACATGTCTCAAGGCTAGAAACCAAGTTTATCTCTTTGAATGAAAGGAGGATCTTAGTCTTTCTATAGAACAAGAAACCATGATATAGTTGGTAAACCCCAAGGATGACCTGTTAGAATTTTCTTTTCTAGCACAATCAGCTGTGGGCTCATCCTGATTCCTCCCCTTCCCTCACTCCCTGTGCCAAATATGCATTGTGAGTTCCCAGTCGACACTTGACCTTCTGTATTCTCTATATCTCTGGGACTGAAAGCCTGTGAGTTGTATCATCCAGATTCCTTTGCCAGCTGGGTTCCAGGTAGGTTCTGCCAGGAAATGGCATTCCTAACAAGTTAGAAGGCAGAGAGAAGCTAGAAGCTTGTCTATTTCTGGTGATACCTCTGCAAATGGTAACACCTGGGCTTCCAGCAGTATCTTCATTAGTATTAGTACCAACACTATGGATCACTGTACTTTCAGTAACAAGAGCAGTGAATTTTGGCACCTGGGTCCATCCCAGAGACAGTACATATTCTCCATCTTTGTGTAACATTCATTTCCCATTTTGCTACTCTAACTCTTCTAAAAATGCTGCAACCAACATCTTGATTTAAATTATTCTCCATTAAAAAAATATCTAGAAAGGTTTCTGTTTTCCTGAAAGAGCATAGACTGATACACTCACCACCACCACAAACAACTATTTGACCAAGTCACCAATTTCTATCACATATACTTATCAAGCATCTTTAAAGTAAAGTTCACTTTTTCTCCATCCTCATTGTCATTTCCACGCACTTGGCCTGAAATGAACTTTCTGTACTACTGGTAGTGCAACTCAAACAGCTTTCTGTAAGCACTAGTTCTCTGTTTCTGTTTCTCTTTCTCTCTCTCTCCCTCCCCCCATAATTCCCTTCTCCTCCTTCCCTCCCTTCTTCCACATTACACCAAAAAGACTTTTCAAGAAGGCAAATAGGTTGTAAAATTCACATATAATTGGATTTAGACTTCAGCTTATAGCTAAGATGAAGAAACAGAAACTAGATATAATCTCCCACTTTAAACAGCTAGAGTTCAAAATAAAATACATAAGTGAAAATTTCCAAGACATTGGACATCAGACAACCAAGGTCATCAATCCTTGAGAGATGGGAAACAAATTAGGTGATTCTTACAATTGCCTCAGCTTACTGTCTTCAGAAAGTTTTCAGATTGTTGTGCAGGGAAACTGAATCACAAGTAGAGTCCAGTGAACTTTCTGAGTTGAGAAGATGGAGCTGAAAGGCAGGGAAGACAAAGATGGCTGTCATACACAGATCAAAGTACCATAGAGGGGAAAAGTGCTCAGAGGGAAGATTCTGGAAATCTGTAGACTTTCTTTGAGTATTCAGCAGAACATTGATCAGCACAAACTTGTAAAGAAAAGACCTAAGACCAGGGGAAAAACTAAATGAATGATTTGAGGAAATGGTACTGGAAACTCATGTAGCTCTAAGAATAGTGTTTTTTTTCACCAGCCAGAATGGAAAGTTTATAATATATAGAACACTGGTCACAGTACTCATAGGGTCTTGCCTCAGTGGTAGAGAAAGCTAGCCCTAGACAAAAATCATACTTCTTAGAATAGTACCAAAATGATTAAATGGTTTCCAAGTAAATTAACTTCATCCCTAACAAAGCCAAAGAATATTTATAGAAATACAAAAATGTCCAACTCTAATAAGGTAAAATCCACAATATGAACATCTGATAAAATATAACCAGGCATACAGTAAGGAAGGAGAATAGTGACTCATAATAGAGAAGGCGATCAATTGGTCAAAGTTGACCTAGATCTGACACAGATATTATAATTGTCACATTAAATAATTAAAATGGTTATTATTAGAGTAACCCAAGTGTTAAACAAATAGAGGCATAGAATATAGAAAAAGAACTCAAATCAGACATCTAGAGCGAAAAAGTAACTTTATGGGAGTAACAGAGGTTTAGATAGTATAGAATATATTAGTCAACTCAAAGACATAGCAATAGGAAACATCAAAAATAAAGTACACTGAGAAAAAAGGATATTTTTAAAAGATCATGTCAGAGACAATGATAAATGGCTCAATGTATGTGCAAGTTAGTCTCTAAAGGAAAAAATAGAGAGAAGGTAGCACAGAAAAAATATTTAAAGTAATAATATGTTGAAAATTTTCCATATTTGATCACTTTAAAATCACAAATACAAGAATCTCAATGAACCCCAATCAAAAGAAACAGTGAAAACTATACCAAGATACATCATAAACCAATTATTCAAAAACAATTATAAGGAGAAAATCTTAAAGCAGCCAGGGAAAAAAAGACATATTACAGAGAGACAAGGAAAATAATTCCAGATTCTTTATCAGAAACAATGCATTCCAGAGCAGTGAAATATCTTTCCATACTAAGGTTAAAAAACCTGTCAACCTAGAATTCTATATCCAGCAAAAATATTTTTTCAAAAATGAAAATAAATGCTAGTGTAAGATGTTAATAATATGAGAAACTGGGTACAGAACATATGAGAACTGTCTGTACTATCTTTACAATTATTCTGTAAATCTGAAATTGTCTTGAAATATAAAATTTAATTTAAAAGTGAAGTAAATGCATATTTTTCACATACATAAGAACTGAGAGTAGATCCACATTATAAGAAATGTTGGAGGAAGTCATTTGGGCAGGAACAAAATGACACCAATTGGCAAAATGGATCTATTCAATTGGATGAAGAGTGCCAGAAATAAAAGCTACATGGATCCAGAAATATGATTTTATTTTATTTTAATATCTTTAAAGATAATTCATTCTTTAAACAAAAATTAATACCAATGTAGCATAAGGTTTATAACATATATAGAAATACAATATATGACATCAACAGTATCAATGATGAAGAAGGGAAAAATAAAAGTATACTATTCAAAAAATTTATATTGATACATGAGTTGGTATAGCATCACTAGAGGGTGATAAGTTGAAGATGTATACAATAAAACCTAAATCAGTCACTAAAATAAAAGTTATAGTTAATAAATAAAGAAAAAAGGAGTCATAAAAGTGATCCAAAATAAACTGAAAAGGAAACAAGGAGTAAATGTAACAAATAGAAAGCAAATATAAGCATTGTAGATTTATTTCTAACTATATCAATATTCATAGTAAATAGAAATGATCTAAATACTCCAATAAAATGAAGATATTTTCAGATTGGATACACAAGAAAGAACTCAACTGTATGCTACCTACAATAAATACAATTTATTTTATTTTATTTTTTTCAATTTGAAACCAGGCATTGTTTATTAATTGACCAGTTAACAAAAATAATCATGGCTGACACCTTAGTGTATCCTTCTAATAAGCCTGTTGATCTGGTCTTCCCTGTTGCCAGCATCTCCACCTTTTACAAAATGGGTGGTCTTTTTCTTCATTCCACCTTGTGGAGAGGATAATTTAAAGGTCCAGAGGAAGTCATTTGTTTCTTTGCAGCATTTTCCAACAGTATAGATCTCATGAATCAGATCCTCCATGCAGAAGATGCCATATTTATCAAGAGATCGAGCAATCATCTGTCAAGGCAATTCACTTCTTACTAACTTTTCCATAACCATGCTTTTAGATTAGTTCATTTACTGACTTCAGGTTTGGGAACTCCCATGCAATATATGATTCTACAATCCTAAGCATGTTAATTGAAGCCTTGTTGAGCTTAGCAAAGGTTCCATTGAAGATCTGATGAAGGCCAAGAAACTGCAACACTTTTCAGACCTTTGGGCTCATACCATTGATACTTCTGATCCTGGTGACAAATGCCAGTTTGGGTTCTGCAGGTACATAGATGTCATTTTTTTTTTTTTTTTTGCTACCCCAGCCATTCGAATCTCAGTTCTGTACATCTGCCTATATTCCTGTGATAGTGCTTAGCTTTTTCATAGATAAGCTTCCTTGCTTTTCAATACATTTTGGGCGCCAACTTCTTTCTCAGGTACTTGATCTTCAGTTCAGTGAAATTCCTTCACTTTTTCTTAAGGGTTTCTGGCACAGGAGGAAACTTCTTTTTCTTCTCTTTGACACCTACCATGGTTTCAGCCAGAAAAGAAGCTAAATACATTTTAAATATAAAGACATAATAAGTTAAAAGCAAGAGTGGCTATATTAATAACAAAGTATATGTCAGAACAAAGAATATAACCAAACACACGCACACACACACACACACACACACACACAGAGGGTAATTTTATCATGAAGACCTAACAATTCTAAATGTTTACACACTTAATAGTAAAGCTTCAAAATACATAAAGTAAAAACTAACCAAACAGCAAGAAGAAATAGACACATCCACAAATACATCTGAGATTTCAAGAACCCTTTTAATAACTGATAGAACAAATAACAAATTAGTAAAGATATAAATGACATTAACAGAACAATCAATAATCTTGACCTAAATGACATTTCTAGAACACTTCACTAGAACACTTCAAACACACATGGATGTATACCAAGATATGCCATATTCCCCCCAACTAACTCACTTATAAACTGGCACACAAACTTGGAGTGTGTGTTTTTGTGTCTTTCCACATGGTGTTCTCTTGGCTCAAATGCCCTTCCTATTTTTTCCATCCCCATCTACCTGGCTAACTCCTGTTTATTTTTCTTTTTTAATGTATTTTATTTTATTTATTTTTTATTTTAAAAAATATGGGTGCAACTCAGGGTCAGGTATACAAATGGTCACTTGTTGATGAGGTGCACTCCCCACCTCCCCTGGCAGTTTCCCACTACTGCCAATCCCTTTTTTATAGTATTATGATCATTGTTCAAGGTCCAATTATGAGTGAGAACATGTGATACTCAGTTCTTTGTTTCTATGATAGATCACTAAGTATTATAAACTTGAAGTCCATTCAAGTTGATGCAAAACCCATAATTTTGTCCTTCTTTATGGATGTATAATATTCCATCATGTATGTACCACATTTTTTTAATCCAGTTCTCTTTCGATGGGCACAGTTGGTTCCATGTTTTTGCTATTGTGAATAATGCTGCAATAAACATGCATGTGCAAGTATCTTTCTCATAGAGTGGTTTGAGTTCCTCCAGGTATATTCCCAGAAGAGGGATCATGGGATCACATGGAAGGTCAATTTTTAGATCTTTTAAGAATCACCACATTGTTTTCCACAGAGGTTGTACTAGTTTATACTCCCACCAACGGTGTAGAAGTCCTCCCTTTTCCCTGCAACCTCACCAGCATTTGTTGTTTTTTGAGTTATTGGTGATGGTCAACCTGACTGGAGTTAGGTGATATATTAGTGTGGTTTTGATTTCTGTTTCTTTGATGATTAGTGAAGCTGAGCATTTTTTCACGTATTCCTGTTTACCTTTCAAAACCCTACTCAGCCACTACCTCCTTTATTATACCTTCCTCAACTACATCAAATAAATTCCTTTCTCCTCTGCATGAGTAGAATACTTTGTACCCACATTCATCCTTGCTTGTATCACAGTATGTTAAATTATATGTGTAGTTTTTCTGCTTTTCCCACTGGATTATAAAGATGAGATTTATAATAAAAATCACATTATTATAATTAATAGTGTATCTATAATTTATTTATAACAATAGCTATCATTTGTAAAAATTTATTGTGCCAAATATTGCTACACATTATATTTTTTAATGTAGAGACAATTTTAAGGAACATTTATGTAATAAACTGTTATATGGTAGACTCTGGGACAGTACATAGAAAATGTCCCCAAATATATTCAGAAGAGAGACTTGTCTGATATGACACTACTAAGCGACCTTTATTCAACAGAATCACAAATCACTGTAATTTTCCAAGCACAAGATGGCATTTGTCCCCACACAATAAAGAAATCAAATATTAGAAAACTTATAGCTATTTATTGGCTTTCTTCTAGTTTTACTTCCAATAGCCCCACAAGGCAGAGATGTTGACTACACGCTGGTATAGACACTCTCTCAAGTGGCCCCAATCAGAGTTGACTCCCCATGAAAGCTGATGAAGCAAGAACCATCCTCTGACCCCTTGTCCCATCAGTGAGAATAAATTACCCCATTCAACGGGGAAGAATATTTTTCATTCATTGATTCTCACAGCCATCCAATAATCTGGATTGCCTCATGCACTTAATCTTTCACTTTAGCAGGAGAAACTGTCCTCACAAAGGGACACCCACTGTGCATCTCACAAACTTTGCATTTGATTTATCTGTGGCAAGCCAAGGAGAAAAACCAGATATTTCATGAACATGCCTTTAAATTATCTGAATCCTCAACAATAGCATCATTCTCACGAGAAAAAAACACAAAAAACAAACAAAATAACCAGTGATTTGATATAAGACAGCTCTGATTGCTTAGTAACATCAACCTAATGTTCTTTTGGGCTTTACTAGGTGGATCCAAACCTTTGATTCACTTTTCTTGCTGCAGAAGTCCTAGATTATAAGACTAGAAATGAAAACCATTTTTCTTTTTTAGTCAGGGAAAAAGAAAAACACTTGCCAAGTCATTAAATATAATAGATTGTAGAGGGAAGGTGCTCAGAAAAATGCCCAAGGCAGGCAGTTACTACACAACACCAAGATGGCAAAACTTAATTGGCATGGCAGAGGAAATTTGCCATGTCTTCGCTGACTATGGACCCTAGTCCCTTAGGGATAGCACCATTAGGATTTGCCAGTTAGGCGGGCAGCAAAATATCATGTAAATTGGTATCATGGAATTTAAGGACACATTAATACCTGCTAGTGGGGCTAAGTTTCTACTTCAGTTGAGTCTTACGTGATAGGAACTTATGAAAAATCTTTCCCTTATAAAGTCATGGCCCTTGAGGCAGTAAGACCCGATGGTTCCAAGAACAGGTCCAGACGCATAGAGCACTAAATTTTCAAACCAAAAGAGGATGGTGGGAGGAGTATAATGAAAAGTCTGAATCATACAAATCAAGGTCATAGACGACAAAGGCTAAGCTAATAGTTTCCTCACAGTTTTCTCTCCATGGACAGATTATTTGGAAATACTTTCCACCAAAATACATTCTATTAAATTGTGGTTTGGTGTGCAAATTGTTTTCTCATTTAAGATTCCAGCTCGATTTTATAGTTATCATGTCAGTGATAATGGATGGTGTCCATTATCATGGGTAAATGTGCCCGTCCCTCCTTTCTCCTTCCCTCCCTCCATCCTTACCCTACTTCCTCCCTTTCTTCCTTGTTTCCTCCCATTTTCCTTTCTCCTCCCTCGCTTGGTCCTTACTTTCTACCCTCCTTTCCCCTCCTACGTCACAAAAACCTTTGTATACTGAAGTCCACAAGCCAACTACCTTCATGGGAAGAAACTGGGATATAGAAGCCCTGGGTTCTTATATTCACTAGGCAGGTCACTTCCCTCTCAATTGTCTTTATTTCAAGGAAGGCTAATAGTTTTGCATGCATCTGTGAGGTCCCGGAGGACAGGGAGCTCAGCATTTTTGCTTGCCAGCACCTAACACAGCATGTGGCACACATTAGATGCTTAATAAATATCTAAGTGACTCTACATTTGCCTCATATCAGGAGTTTTGGTGAGAAAGAATGTCAAGTATATGAAATCACTTTGAAAATTTAAAAATACTGTAAACAAATATAGTCATCTACAATTTCTGCAGCTAAATATCTGGGTTTTCATAGCAAAGGAGAAAAGAGCGACAAGACTTAATAGATTAGAAAACATTAGAAGGACAATAGTCTGTTCATAAAAAAACACTTATTTTCGGTTTTTGCTTGATTACACAATATATAATTTATTTTTTTCTATATGTATTTGAATCAGAGTATTCTAGCACAAAATGGGCATTGCAGAGATTCATCATTCATTTAGCAAATATTGAACACATTTAACATATTATGAGCCAGGCGTTTCTAAAACTTTTAATTTTTAAGTATTATTTTTAATTGACATAATATTTGTATCTAGGGGGTACAATGTGATGTTTATTTATTTTTTAAAGGTGTGGGGTACAATTCATGATTAGGTAGATAAGTGGTAATTGTGCAGATAAAGTTTGGGCTTCCCTTTGGTCCCCACTCCGCCTGATTTGAGATCAGGTATTGTACTGATGTTATTATGTACTCCCCCCATTCCCCAGGCAGTGTCCTGCTACTGACAATCCCTTTCTTATAGTATTATGATAAATGTTCAGGGTCTTGTTATGAGTGAGAACATGTGGTACTCAGTTCTTTGTTTCTGTGATAGATCACTCAGTATTATAGAGTCTAAATCCATCCAAGTTGCTGTGAAGTCCATCATTTTGTCTTTCTTTATGGCTACATAATATTCCTCATGTATATGTACCACATTTTTTGTATCCAGTCCACTTTTGATGAGCCAGGTGATTCCAAGTGTTTGCTATTATGAACAATGCTGCAATAAATATGCATATGCAGGTAATTTTTTAATAGAATGATTTGAGTTCCTTCAGATTTATTCCCAGAAGGGAAATTACTGGGTCATATGGAAGGTCAATTTTTAGATCTTTTAAGAAACACCACACTGTTTTCCACAGAGGTTGTAATAGTTTATACTTCCACCAACAGTGTAGAAGCATTCCCTTTTCCCCACATACTCTCCAGCACCTGGTTTTTTTTTTTTTTTTTTTGAGTTATTGATGATGGCCATTCTGATTGGAGTTAGGTGGTATCACAGTGTTGTTTTAATTTGCATTTCTTTGATGATTAGTGAGATTGAGCATTTTTTCAAGTATCTGTTGGCTGCTTGTATGTGTTCTTTTGAAAACTGTCTCTCTTCTCCTCAGCTTTCTAGTTAGATCCTAATTGAAATTCTTGAGCAATTAATTTAATCATTTGAAACTTGGTTTCCTCATCTGTAAGAAGGGAATAAGCACACTTAGCTCACCATGTTGTGAAGATTCAATGAGATAATGTAAAAGCCTGTAAATGGTATCTGTCATAAGCAACTCAAAGGATGTTCCTAAATTCCAAATATTATAAATTCCTAAATTCCAAGTATTATAAAATTAGAAGTTATCGTATATTTTT